CGCTCTACGCCGCGCTCGGCCTGCGCAGCGCCGCGCTCTCCGCGCTCGCCGCCGCCGCCCAGCTGGCTGCGCTGGTCACCTGCCTGCTCTCGTTGCTGCCCGGGGGCGCCGCCGGCCTCAGTTACCTCGGCGGCTTCCTGCGGCGCCGCGTCGCCAAGACCCTGCCCGTGTGACCTGGCGGCTTCAGCCCCGGATTTGGCCTTGCCGTAGGTGCCTTGAAGAGCAGAGAGAGCCGGCGCAGCGGTTCCTGTTCCTACTGACTCGAGCCTCTTTCTCTCCTCACGGGTTCTAGCTCTTCTCACTTCCACCTCTAGAGCTCGAGGAGACACTTCGCAGCCACCCTGGGCTGGAAGCTGCTGCAGTGACACAAGGAGCTGGTTTTCTGGCCTGCAAGCACAGCAGGCCCTGGGCAGGCCAGCTTTCAGCACCTACCTGTTGTGAAGTCAGCGTTGCAGCACTGCTCTGGAATGGCTGAGAAGTACCAAGAATGCCAAACTCTTGCCTCAGCTGTAAGACTTGCACAGCCCACTTGGAAAAGTGAGTCACAATAAAGCCAGATGCAGCAGAAATACTAATGGACCCAGAGTCTGAGGCAGCAAGTAGGGTCTTGCTACACTCACAGGTTGCTGAATTCACTGCATTTCAGGAGGTGTTAACTCTTGGCAAAATCTGGGGAATGCAGGCACATTGGTGAAACTTCAAGGAAGGCTAAGTATATCACAACCATTGTCTCATTTGTCATGGTTCAGCACACACCTTCAAAAGTATAGTGCTCCCTTTGGACTAAGGTGACCTAGGATCAGTCTGAACATACCTGTTCCATTTTAACTCTGTACTTTCCATCTGTTCAGTAACATGACAAGACTAAAAAGTAACATCCTTTTAACTAATCTGGGTAATAGTCGCAGCTGCTGTGGATTGCAGAAAGGTACCTCCTTTGGCAAACAGTATCATCTTACACAAGCAATCATAGAGAAGTAGTGAAAGTAATTACTAGTCTTCAATTTCAGTCAAAATTCAGTACTGGTTCTCTTTCTACTTGGTGGCAGTGCTGTCTTGTTTGCTGTTGGATTTCAGGTACCTGTGCAGATACCTTTACTTAAGCAAATGCCATAGCCCATTTTACACCTATTTTAGGTGGTGGTCACAGAAGTACACGTTCAGATAATGTTTACAGCCTGATCTTGAGAAGATTTGGCTAAATAAAGCAAACCAAAGCCTGCAGTATTCCAGTGACCCACCACAACTTAATAAGATAGTATTAACGGACTTGATTATATTTGCACAAACTGTAAAGTGGAGCTTAGTTTTTACAACTTTATTAAAAGTATTTTTTTTTTACTAAAATTGCTAATCAGATATTCTAGCCACAGTCTAGTTTTTGTATCTTAAAAAAGTAAGTCTGCACTATTTGAACCAATGCTTGCAAGTTTGGGTTTCTCATTTACCAATGTATGAAGTAAATAGGTTCCTTGTTCTTGGACAAAATGATTAAAAAATGAAAATGAATGTAGATGAGCTAGTTGATACATTTACAGCCTATTATATTTGACTGGTAAAGGGGCCTCCCCTGAAGAGCTTGTTCCTCCCATTACCATAAAACTATAGCTTGCTACCCAGCTGCTGCAATGTCCCTTTAAGGGACAGTAGACCACAGCAAATCTTATTCTCACAGGGGTTGCTGGTGCTCTGGTTCAACCCTGTTTTCCCCCCTTTAGAAGAACTGATGTTGTGGTTTTACTACATTTTGGAACTCCAGATTTTACTTTTAAGTTAGTTATAGTTCTGCCTTCTCATACTTGACCTTTTTAACACCTCTCTTCGGATGCATTGCATTTCCAGCCTTTCTGAACTGATTTCAAACCTTGTTTAATTTAGAATGTTGCCATTCTGCATTTGGAGGGGTTAAGAATGGCTTATAAAAATTATTTTTAGTAAAGAGTTAAGGAGGTCTTGTACTAAAACAACTTGCAGAGAAACAGAGCATAAAACTTTTATCTAAAAATATTTAGATTTCAGAATTTCTTATGTTAAACAGTGTGCAACTTTTTTCCATGTCTTTGGACAACTCAAAGTGGGAGTTTTCTCAGCCCTTAACCAATGGGACAGAGGCTGTTAGAGTCAGCCTCTTTATTATCCCAGTTGTTTAGAGGATATTGGAGCCAGCATTGAATCAGATTCAAAGCAGTCAATAAAAATCATTTTTTCCTGTCAGCCTTTCAGGGCAGCTGGGATGCAAGGCCTGTATTTTTAATGTGAACTATCATTCTTTAGGAGAAAAGATAAAGAACACAAACTACTTTCCCTTTACTAATAATCATAACCTACTACAGAGAATGTGCATTGCATCTTCTTTATTTAGGACAAATCCTGGATGGTTGAAGATACAAATATGTAGATATGATTGAAGACCCTTCTTAACTGCTGCTTACCAGTCTTTCCTTAAAAACATTCTCTCTAAAAAAAATACCTGGTAACATTATTTTATAGGCCAGAGTTTCATTAAATCAGTTTAGCTACTGTAACACACTTTGGTTGAACTTAAACTGTTCCACTGTGCACCAGATAGATACAATGGAAAAAGATAGCAATTCTTTATGCATACTTTGCAGGAGAGGCTAAGCGCCACAAATGTAACGCAGGTCTCTTCTATCTACAGTTCAGTCAGGCTGTGCCTGTGGGACCTTGCATCTTTTAGTAAAATATGAAAACAAATGATTTGCCACATATGCATCTACACTTGTTGCAGAGAGCAGTTTCAATGACACATTATATATGTCTTCAGCTTTCCACTTCCTTTACCTTTTACTTACCCTTATGGTGCGAGAGCTCATGGTATTCTTCTGTTATCCTCTACCTCCTGTACCTAATCCTTGAGTTCTTCAGTCAGTAGCGCAGGAAACTAAATTTCTAGGAAAAGGATGGTTCTCAGATACTCACTTACATGGCACTAATCTCTTGAGTAAAGGATAGGAAGGATGCTTTACAACTTCATCCACCAGGTTTTCAGGTGATTTATGGGGAAAACAAACAGCATGGTTGGTAAGCAGCTTTATTATGAAATGGAAATAAAAAAATAAAAATTGTAACATTGTTGCAATGGAATAAAATGATGGAACATAAGAGTCTAAAGAAAAGTGTGTATATATTTTTAAATATATATTTAAAAAAGTGTGTGTGTGTGTATATACACACACACACGCACGCGCGCGCGCGTGTGCGTGTGTGTAATAAAAAAATCTATGATCAAAGTACCTGGCTTGCACTTGCCAACCTTTTAGAATGCACCAGCTGGTAATACAGTGACCATTTTTCTTGGCAGTGTGTATACTTGTCTACTGTGGAAAAATTGGTATGTGCAGCCATATTAATCTGCTTCTGAATTTCTGTTCTCTGTGGCATAAGACTTGATTCTATTTTGAATTAAGGGTATATAGCCTCCCTGTGGGGAAGTACTTGAAACAATGAGTTTATTGAAGAAAGGCTGTTTCGGCAGTAGTCAGAGTGAGGCCTCTTCATGCCATCTGTTTCAAAAGCAGCTTTTGCCACTGTTCTACATTTGTCTTTCAAGAGTGGTAGGACTGCAAACACTGACCTTTTGTGTATGTGTACTGTAATAGATGTGCACCACCCCGCATACGTTATTTGATAAACATATGGTGCCAATGGTATAAATGAAAATTCTCAAAACATAAAAGCCCAACACTGATGGGACTAACGCAGTAGTACTTTTGTACTGGAGAGAATTATAGAGGTAGTCCTATGGCTCCGTGAATCTGAAAATTAAACAGAGGAAGATGCTTTTCCTGGTAGGTAAGTAAAGATAAAGAATCACACATTGCACTGATTTTTTTTGTTAATTCTTGCGCAAATTACATTCTGTATTCATACAAAAACAACTTAACTTTTTTTCCTGACAAACTGTACATATAGAAACAATTTTCCATCTGGAGGTGAACAGAAATCTGTGGAGGTGCTCCATGTCTCACAAGACTAAAAAAAATTCCAGCTTTTATCTTCACAAAACAATGCAGATAAAAAGAGGGTGAGGAAGATGGGTTGGAGAGGGCAAAACAGAAAGCCAGCTACAACCTTGCAGCTAGTAGCAGTTGCTTGATCTAGGAAATGATCCTTGTTAGGAACTAATGCACATTCAGTTATTCCAGGTAGGAGTTCAGGGTTGTGTTGCTGCAGGTTTACTCTCTGAAGGAGTCCACAATAGAAGTCTATTTAAATACTGTCCAGTAAGGACTGGGTATCACCCAGTCACAGCCTCTTCTACCGGCCCCTTCCAGTGCCCCTAGATACTCCTCGCCTTGACTGGCCAGAGTTCATGTTGCTTCCTCTTCCCCAGTTACTCCCACTCCTTCCTCCTCTGGAAGGGTTATTGCCTGCTGTAGGGCCTCCACCAAAAGCTTCATCTCTGTGGAATCCATCATGATGATCTCTATCCAAAGAACTAGACCTCCCAGATTTTGGCACTCTCTGGGAAGGTCCTGAACTTCCTCGTCCTAAGGAAAGAAGCACATTGCTTGTGACTCTAATTAAAGTCATCCTTCTCAAGTACCAGAATATGCCCCCATCCTTAAGATTTATTGAGCTAATTCCTGTGCAACTCAAACCCTCCTAGATAATACGTAATCTGAGATCTTCAACTTTTACATGCATGGCTTCTACATATCCTTTTTCCTACCACATATAACAGTAACATCAATAGGAGAGTCCACAATAGGGTAGCCAACAAAACAATTTCTTTGAAGCCAAATTACTTTTCCACCTGATACCATGAGCATGCAGCTTGTTAAATGAGAGTATATAAAGCACTGGAGTGCCCAGCACTATCAGAACTCCATTTATACCAAATAAGGAAATCTAATCCAGATTCCCTCTGACAGCATATGTTGACTTCAGTAGGTTCTTTTTAAATCAATTTTTATGTCATTCATTAATGATAAGTAATCTTGTCTAAATCCTCTAATTACAGGAAGGTCACTTGGTCTAGTTTTGATAAAGAGTCCTGAAGGGATGCTATATTCTACTTGACATGAACATAAATTGCATCTCGTCTTCCCAGGATCTAGAGTATTTCCTGTTACAACAATCTTTAGATAAATCTGGGGGGGGGAAGATACTTAACCAAAACAGAGTAGCAATTCAAGGCAATTAACAGGTAAACGATGGGTTGCCAATCTGCTAACTAAGGCCAAGTTGATAATATTTGCTTCATTTTAGCAAAACTATATTATGCATACCTGGTACCATGCAAAACGGAGGAAGACAGGATTTCTACCCCAAAGGCTTTACCATGAATGATAGGTAAGTTCAGATCTTCAAACAGCCTTAAACCAGCATAAGACTGAAGGTGGCAGTGTCCATGTGTGAAAATGCATTTGTTCATATTTTCTATCATGCTCCAAAAACTGACAGATCTTCATAGATAGTAACACCTGTTTTAAAATTTATTTTAAACCTTCAGTTCTACCCTATATCACCCTGCATAAGGAATTCTGTGCTCTCTATCAAAAATATATATAGCTTTATGAAGTTCTCAGTACAAGCTACAATTTACCTTTGCCCCTCTCTTCTGGGGGCCCACCTGGGCCTTCCATTTCTCTGTGCTCAGATGTCCCTGGTCCATCATGCCAGGGACGTTTCCGTGGTGGCAGTGAGGCCATGTCCATACCCTGGAGTGACGAAGAACGTTCTCGGGTAGCAGGAGAATGTCCGTCATGAGGAGGGTGATCCTGGCGGGAACCTGACCACAAGGAGAAGAGACAAAGGTCCTTATCTGATGTTCTCATTTTTTAGAAGTGCAGAAACAAATGTCTATGCTTTCTGTGTTCTTCAGCAACTTTATTCATAGTGAGCACGTCTCTCTGCCTGGCTCAAGAAACACATTAACCAGTCCTTGTATATACATCTGTTAAGTGTAAACACACATCTTTTCAACCTTTCTAAAGCTACCCATTAAAAAAACCCAACAGTTAAAACAATGGGATCTTTAGATACAGCTATGTAATAGTGCCAGACATGCTCTAAAGTAAATCCTGCCTACATTTTTACCTGGTTCTCTGTTTCCATCCCAGGATTCTGGTTTCCGTCCTCCTTCAAAACGGGGAAACTCATCTGGAGTGGGAAGCAGACCTTTTCGTCCTCCTGTACAGCAAGAGATGGAGAACAAGAAACACTGTACTCAAACTATTACAATTGCCCCAAGAACCATTTTTCCATTGCAATGAACATGCTCATGGGTTTCAGTGTGGAAGAATGCTCCCTTACCTCTTGGAGTGCCCCGACCTCGTCCTCGACTGCCATGATCTCGTCCTCTTGAGTTATCATCTGATGAATCAAAATTGTCTTCTGGCCCAAAGTCGTCGGGACCAGGAAAGCCATCCCTTCCCCTAGGTCCCCGGCCCTCATGTCTTGAGGGTGCTCCTCTTCTGAAGCTGCAAGAAAAAACATGATACAAATGTTGTTTTAGAGCAAAATTAATCCCTGCTAAACCAGAGTCCATAATTAAACGTGTGTCTGAAATGTTCATCTACTATTGCTGCACTACCTACAAGTATTACAACTGGAAGAGATTTGTGGAGAATATCTTCTTTTTTGTGTGGCTTTCGTAACACTTGCACGTTCATTTTCTCCCTGTTCAGAGTCCTCATGTTGTTTGTGTGGGTCTTTCACATGATAAGTGAGAGAAAAATATTTATAAGATATTTAAGTAGATAGTGTCCATTTAATGAAAAGGACAGTTAGAGTGATGTCACGTGTGACTAAGAAGAGGGCCACGCTCAAGTGAAATTCTTTGAACTGTGATGCATTGGATTTTCTCTCCTCAAAACCATTTCTATTTCTTTACCACTACATGGTGAAACCAAAGAGAAAATTACAATTAAAAGGAGTCTTTTCATGACTAGACAGAAGATTTTAATTTCCTGACTCCTAATTTTGGCTTATTTTGTTATGATAAAATTCTTGAATCAGTGACACGGCTTTTATCTTGAAGGATTCCTACAACATTGAATCATTTACCATATGATTCTGGAAGTGCCGTTAACTCTGTCGTGATGTCAGCTATTTAACAGAGCATAGCAATACACTGAATTGTGAAGAGCAGTTTAGTTAACTGAAAGAATGAGGGGGATTTAATTTAGACAAAGTTGTCTAAAACCGTTTTGGTCATGACACTGAAGTTGACACTTGTAAAAAGTATCAGGGAATGAACTGTATGATTAGTACCTAAGATTTATATTGGATCCTAAAGCAGCACAACATAGCCATCGTTGCATCGAGGAATTGATTCGGAGCTTCTTTGGTGGGTAGAGTGCCTTTTACTGAATCCTCACGTGGCAACCGGAGGATCGCTTATAGGTTAGATATTTTCTGTATTTGTAGCATCTGCTGAAGCTCCGGGAATGTTTGTAAAACTCTGTTTCCATGTGCAGAAGAGTTTGTAGTATTTCACAAACATTTTAAATACTATTACATCTCTACCCATGTGCAACAGCTCCCTTTTTATTTATTTTTTATAACTGCCTCAGTGCACATCTCCTGTCAGAACAGTTTGTGCTGACAAAGACGAGAAGTTTAGATGGTGCAGCTGCACTGGTTCAATTAGTCCTCACAATGCATTCCCACAATCCTGCCCACCCTTCAGTGACAACTTTGGCGTCTCAGAGCACTTTCTCTGCCCGCCTGTTGACTCCCCACCAATTTCCATCCCAATTCCATGCTGGCCAAACTGTAGCTGAGGTGGTACCAAGGAAGTCTTGTCATTGTGTGTCACCCCCTACCCCATCTCATTAAAGACACAGTGCATCCTATTACAAGCAAAACTTTAGATACTTTTATTTAGAATTTTAACAACATGAACCTTTTAATTACAAATTTAAATATTTTAACAGTAGTCATAACACAATACAAGAGTTTTAAACTGTTGTACATTTTTTTAATTAAAACAACTGGTCTCCACCTCCCAGCAAACAAACACAATAGAGGAGGATGCTGCAGCAGCTGCACAGGCACAGCAGTGGCTGCAGGGAGCATTGGGCCTGCATGTGAACCATTTTACACAAACTTCGATGATCAGGGAAGACAAACTGAAGAGTTTCAGGAACAAATGGTTCAACTAGCACTGAGCAATACTGCTTAGCTTTTTAACTGCCTGGTCCTCTAATGTAGATCAACTTTAGATGTTCTTCAGAGAGTCTTCCACTGAAATAGTGACTTAGTTTGACTCCATAGCTTATATATCTTAAAACTGCAACACAAAGTCCTAAGGCTACTGGTATCAATGCCTTGCTTCTTGCTTTTTCAGCAATTTAGTGGCCAGAGTTCAGCTTGAAAGTTTATTAGTGCTATGCCTGATACAACTACTGTCCCTAATTTGGGCTCATAAATATGGTCACACATGACATCCTGACTGGTGTGCTTGGTTCCTGTTTGAAGGTTCTCAAAAGTTTATCCATGAGGTACAGGAACTTATTACACAACCACATACTATGCAGACCATCAGGCAGGAAGAGCCAGGTCTCTGTAGTACATGTGTTATGTTGATGTGCACAAGTGGAGTAGGAATAGGACAGGGATGTACAGGACAGAAAATCAGAGAAAG